TTCTGTGTCTGGCTTATTTCACTTAGCATAATGTCTTTAAAATTCATCTATGCTGGGGCTCCTGGCTGGTTCAGTCAGTGGAGTGTGCAACTCTTGATCTCAGGGCTGTATGTTCAAGCCCCATGTTGGGTGGAGAGATTACTTAAAAATAAAATCTTAAAAAATATTCCTCTATCCTGTAGTATGTATTAGAACATCATTTTGTTTTTTAAGATTTTTTTTTAAGTAAATCATGATTGTGGTGTTGAGTAATAAAATTGCATGAACATTTAAAGACTCACAGGGATCAGCCTGTGTGGCTCAGTTGGTTAAGCATCTGTCTGCATTCAGTTCAGGTCATGATCCCAGGGTCCTGGGATTGAGTCCCGCCTTGGGCTCCTGGTTCCTCTGGGAGCCTGCTTCTCCCTCTGTCTGCTGCTCCCTCTGCCTGTGCTCTCTCTCTCTCTCTCTCTCTCTCTCTCTGATAAATAAATAAACAAAATCTTTAAAAAAAATCAAAGACCGGGACGCCTGGGTGGCTCAGTTGGTTAAGCAGTTGCCTTCGGCTCAGGTCATGATCCCAGCGTCCTGGGATCGAGTCCCACATCAGGCTCTTTGCTCATCAGGGAGCCTGCTTCTCCCTCTGCCTCTGCCTGCCATTCTGTCTGCCTGTGCTTGCTCTCTCTCCCTCTCTCTCTCTGACAAATAATTAAATAAAATCTTTAAAAATAAAATCAAAGACTTACAGAGCTGTACACTAAAAAGGCGAGTTATAAGGTAAAACATACCTTAAACTTAAAAAAAAGAATGAATAAATGAGTGGGAGAAAAACTAAGACGCTAGACTCTCACATTTTTGCTACCTTGAGAACTTTGCAAGTGACAACAGCCTTCATTATTTACAGCATAAATTTATATTTTTTCATTCATTCATTCATGATAAAAATGAAAGTACTTGAACCTATCATCCAACCCAAGAACTACAAAATCACTAAAAACTATCTATTTACTGTTTCCCCCACCCCACCCCCAGGTAATCACTATTCTGAATTTTGTGTTCTTCATTCTCTTGCTTTTTTCTTTTTTAGTAGTTTTTTTTTCACACATAAATTAGGCTGGGCCTTATGAATTTGCCCTTTTTATAGGTCAAAACAGGTCACAACCCAGCAGCTTCATGAAGTTCAACCCAATATTATGCCTAAATATAGTAGTTCTGGTTATATTTGAATTTTACAAAACGGGTATCATTCCATCTATGCTCTTCTGGGACTTGCATTTTTTTCTTAATCAATTAATTTTTTTTTTTTTTTTTTTTTTTTTTTTTGGTAATCTCTACACCAAAAGCAGGCTGGAACTCACAACACTGAGATCAAGAATCACATGCTCTTCTGACTGAATTTTCACTCAATATTATATCACCACAATTCAGCCGTATTGCTGTTTTTTCATTCATTTTCTATTGTTGTATAATTATTCCACATTTCTTCATTTCCTGTCAATGGTATTTGAATGTTTTTGGTTTGGGGATACCATTAACAATGTTTCTATTACCATTCTTATACATGGCTCCTGGCGCATATGTGCCCTTTTTTTTTTTTAAAGATTTACTTTATTTTATTTTTTAAGTCTTTTTATTTATTTTTGCAAGAGAGAGAGAGAGAGAGAATGAGCGGTGGTGGGAGGGGCAGAGAGAGAAGCAGGCTCCCCAACGAGCAGGAAGTCTGATTCAGGACTCGATCCCAGGACCCTGAGATCATGACCCGAGCTGAAAGCAATCACTTAACCGACTGAGCCACCCAAGTGCCCCTTATTTATTTATTTTAGAGAGAGAGCACGCACGAGCGAGGAGAGGGGTAGAGGGAGAGGGAGAGAGAAAGAATCCCAAGTAGACTCCCCGCTGAGCACTAAGCCCACATGGGGCTTCATCCTAGGACCCTGAGATCATGACCTGAGCTGAAATCAAGAGCTGGACACTTAACCTAACTGTGCCACCCAGGTACCCGTATGCGTGCCATTCTTGTGGTTGTACCCAGGAATGGACTTGCTGGTCTTAGGATACACAGATTTCAGCTATACACATGGCGACTCACTTTCTGAGGTCCAAATGAGGATACACTGTACTATTTGCCCCCAGGTGAGAATGTGGACAAGATGTGGTGGGAGTTGCAGAGGGTTTCTCGTGGAATTGAACACCTGCTGTATGCATATGGTAAGGGACCCACAGAATGAGATGATGGTGCCCTGAGGGGTGAGACAGGGAAAGAAACGCTCCAGTTGCCATGGGAATCATCTTCCAAGGAGTGGTCCACCCTGGCTGGACAAAGGGAGGGCTTGAGACCCAAACAGAGCAGACAAAGATCTCTATCCTAGTTGGCAGGATCTCCGTCTAGGGTTGGGAGGATGTGTACCAGTACATGAAGGGCGAGAGACCTAGGCAGTGCTGAATTCCTCCTACCTACCAATCCTTACCCCAAAGATCTCTCCACATATCCTTTATCTCACTTTGCATCCATTATCTTTTTTAATTCTCCCAGCCGGAGAGAGGTATTATTATCTCCACAGATAGGCTTAGAGAAGGAGGGTGTGTTGCCCAAACTCACACGGTTTTTTCCAACTGCCTGAACAAATAATTTCCCCTTCCTTATCCTCAGTTTCCACATCTGTAAAATGGGAATGATAACACCTAACCCACCTCACAGATTCGTGGGAGGATTAAATAATACTATGTAAGCATGAGTCCTGGAGCTGCTCCTTGAACGTCACGTGTTCAAAAAAAAAAAGAAAAGGAAGAAAGTCATTTGTTTATTGGTACTGTTGTTATTATTCTTATGGAGAGCAGGAACCCAAGAGAGTCTGAGCCCTGACTTCTTGCCACCCAGTGATGGTCCCTCTTCCAGAGACTCCACGGGATGTGGTAGTCATGGCCCATTTTGGTCACCTCTGTGGCTCTGTGATAAGTCTTTCAGGACTGGACAGCCAAGCCCCCTCCTCCACCCTGCTTCTAGGCCCCAGAATAGAGGTAGTTGATCTCCCCTACAGACTTTCCCAAACGGAGGTGAACTGCGCAGCTGAGCAGAGGACGCACACCCCCTATTCTGTCTCAGGGCAAAGGAAAAATTCGGGGAGCCCAGCGGTTCATTCAATTGAGAAAATCTGCTGAGTACCTAGTATGTGCCGGTCCTGCACTGGGCAGCGGGAGCATTGGGAACAAGACCAGACCGTGTCCTCAAGTCAGAAAAGGAGGAGTCACAAGACAGGAAAACTGTGTGCTGAGTATTATGATAACGAAGTACAGAGAACTGTTCTATATAACAGGAAACCAGACAGGCCTAGGGGCCAGGGAAGGCAGCCCAGGAGATACACACCCTTGGAGCTGCGCCTTTAAGAGCCGGCAAGCGCTCCCCAGGTGCTCGGAGACTGCTCGGACTACCTGCCCATTCAACGGAAGAGGAGACTGAACCGCCAGCGTCGGTCTACCCTGCCCGCCTCACTTAGCCAGACCAGGCTGAGTACCGCTTGGAGGGCGTAGACACAGCGCGCGAGCCAGGCCTCGGAGAACGCCCCCTACCCCGCCGCCACCCTCGGCGCCCAGGGCGGGGCCTCAGCCCAGGTGCGCGGCGGCGGCGTCGGCGGCGGCGGAGCTTCGCGGAGGCAGGAAGTGTGTCCCCAGCGGCGGCCCGTGCCGCGCTCCCGCGAGACGCTCACCTGCGCTCCAGGTGAGCGGCGAAGGGGGCGGGGGTAGGGGCCGAGCCGGAGGCGGCTCACCTGGCGGGACAGGTAAGCCCCGCGCGGGCCGGTGGGGGCGCGAAGCACGGCGGCACTGGTGTGGAGAGACCCCTGAGGCTGCGCCTGGGCGGGGGAGGGTCCCGGGACCAGTTCCTCGGGCGCCACCCTCCCACTTCCGGGGTGTGCGGGCCCGGCCGGGGAGCGGCCCGAGCGGGCGCCGGGGCTGGGCGGGCAGAGTGGGGTGGGAGGGCCGCGGTCGCCCTCAGGGCTGCGCTGGCTGGGGGCGGGAGCTGTGCTGGCCCGGGGAGGCAGGGTCGGGAGGGGGCGAGCGACCGTGCACCCCCGGAGGAAAGATGTCAGGTGGGGAGAGGGGCTGCGTCTGCCCGCGGGCGGAGGGTCCCTGCAGCTGGAGAGGGTGGTGCTCGCCCCGAGGTCCCTGCTGGTGTAGGGGCTGTGCTGATCCGAGGGGCAGTGCCGGGGTCTGGTTCTCCCGTGCCTCACGAATAGGTGTCCCCGGATGCCGGAGTCGCAGGCTGAGCCTTCGGGGCAGGAAATAGAGGGTGCGGGGGCGCCGGGTGCGAGAGCAGAAGACTGTTTCTCCGAGCAGGTCTGGGGTGCCCCTCTCGGTGGAGTGTGCTAGACTGGGCTGGGTACAGGGGTGGGGCCTGTCCTGGGGACCTTGGGAGGAGGGGAATAGTACAGAGACAGACCCGTGTGTGTGTTTTCAGGGACTAGGGAAGGGGGAAGACCATCAAGAGAAGTTTGATGAGGGGGGGTTAGGACCTTTTGACTCTGAGGAAGATCCCTGCAGCGACTTGGGGCGCCCAGCTTCCAAGCCCCTCCCACTCCATGCACCACACCAAGCTGCCTGCACGGAATATCTCGTTGAAACCTCACAGTGGCCCAGGAAGACTCCTCTTTTCCCTTGTTAAAGAGGAGAAGACTGAGGCCCAGAGTCTTGTTCCAGGCAACAGTAGGAGCAGGGGCCCTGCCCTCACTCAACCAAGTGACCAGTGTTCCTAGGGCTTGGGAGGTGGGGGCAGCAGCAGTTAGGGGATGATAGAACCTGAAAAAAATGGGCTTTTAGATTGACTTTAGGAGGTTTCTGGACCTAGATGGGTGGGGGAAACTGAGAGGAGCTATTGTCCTTACCCTAGGTCTTGCTCCCCACTTCCCTCTGTCTCACCCCATTCCAGGTATGTGGCACAAAACAAAGTACATGGGCTCCAGAGTCTGGCAGACCATAGGACAAATCCTGTTCCATCCCTTTCCAGCTCGGTGTCTCTGGGCAAGTCACTTCTGAGCTTCAGCTTCCTGATCTGTAAAGTGGAGATACACTACTTCCTGAGCAGGTGTGACTGTTAGGTAAAGTGAAAGTCCTCTTGGGCCGGAGCCTGTTTCTGGTCCATTCCCTGCCATTTCCCCAGCATTTAGCACAGTGCTGGACACATGGTAGTGTTCAATAAATATTTGGTGGGTGAATTTAATGAATAGTAGCAAATCCTTAAGCCTTGGAGGTAGAGAAGGAGTGACCCAGACCATCATCAGTAACCCCTTGATTTTTTTTTTTTAAAGATTCTTATTTATTTATTTGACAGAGAGAGATCACAAGCAGGCAGAGAGGCAGGCAGAGAGAGAGGAAGAGAAGCAGGCTCCCTGCTGAGCAGAGAGCCCGATGCGGGGTTCGATCCCAGGACCCTGGGATCATGACCTGAGCCGAAGGCAGAGGCTTAACCCACTGAGCCACCCAGGTGCCCCAACCCCTTGATGTTTTTAGAAACCCCAGGTCCCCCAGAGCTCAGTGTGGTTCAAACAATGTGGAGACACCCAACCTCCTCATCCAAGGCCTGAGTCTGGAAGACTCAGGGCTTCCTCTGTGGTCCCTCCATGGGTTCAGGCTTATCCATGGAGCTGGCAGCTGGCCACTTTGCCCCCTTCCTCCCAAGTAATAGATGGGATGAGGTAGTGGGTAAGAATCTCGGCCAGGCTGCTTGGGTACAAATAGATGTGTGGCTTGAACAACTTATTTAACTTATCTGGGCCTCTCGGTGTATAGTAACAACAACAACAACAATAATACCTACAAATCAGGTTGTGAGAATTGGTTGGTTTTTGGGTTTTTTTTAAGATTTTATTTATTTATTTGACAGAGAAATCACAAGTAGGCAGAGAGAGGAGGGAAGCAGACTCCCTGCTGAGCAGAGAGCCTGATATGGGGCTCGATCCCAGGACCCTGAGATCATGACCTGAGCTGAAGGCAGAGGCTTAACCCACTGAGCCACCCAGGCACCCCAAGAATTGGTTTAATACATTCACAGCACATAGAACAATGTAAGCCATCAATAACTAACTCATTCACTAGAATGCAGATTTAGGTCTGCAGATTAGGTAATTTTGTCTGTTTTACCACTGTATCCACCAAATTAAAACAATGCCTGGCATTCAGTAGGCCCTCGCTAAGTATTTGTTAATTAAGTGAATGAATGATTCCATACTCACCCCCCAAGGCAAAGGTTTTAAACCACTGGCCTGTCTGGATCACGAGGGACTTCCAAGTCACCTGTTAGAGTCTCCGTGTACACACTTTTGGAGAGGGGATTTCATCCTTCTTCCCCGAGGCTGCTGCTACTCCTAGTCTGGTCAGCCTAGAGTCTAAGTCCTTTTTCTTCCTTCCCAATGCTCCTGGTTCTATTCTGAGGTCACACAGAATGTGTCAGTCCCCTGAAGCACTTACTGTACCCAACCCTGTTCCAACACCGAGCCAGAAAGCAGTCAGACACAGTCACAGTCCCTGCCCCTTGGGGTCATATAGGCTTATCTTCAAACAGTGGGTTCAAGGCCAACCCAGCTGACAGAGCCCAGCAGAAAGCTGTGGGGAGAGGGGCTCCCATCTGCTTGGGGAGCTGGAGGGGCCTTGGAGAAGGAGTGCAGAATGGGGTCAGGGGAGTGAGTTCAATAATTACAGGAATAAAGAACTCCTGTATCCTCTTACCAGCCGCCATGGCTAGCGTTCCTTCCTCCCTCCCTTACTCTCTTGAGACACACGGACCTTCTGATTTTCTTAGGAAACTTTTGAGATTAGCTTGCTGACATCATGCTCCAGTGTATACTTCCTGAGAATAAGAACGTTGTCTTATATAACCGTAGTAATCAAATTCAGGAAATTTAACATTGGCATATTACTGTAATACACAGTCTACTTTCAAATTTCACCACTTATCCACATTATCCAGTATCCAATTTCTCCTCTTGATTCAGGATCCAATCCAGGATCACACATTGCATTTGGTTGTCATTCCCTTAAGTTGGACTTGTCTGACATCTCTTCATGATTACGTTCAGGTTATGCATTTGGGGCAGAACTACTTCTTAAGTGATGTGGTTTCCTTCTTAGTGCCGAGTACCAGGAGGCACAGGATGTCAGTTCATCCCTTTACTGAGGATAGCTAACTTTGGTCGTTTGGTTACAGTGGAATCTGCCAGGTTTCGCCAGATTTTTAAAGTTCTCCCTGGCTGCAGCAAGTAGAAGGGAATGTAGGTGGCCAGAACGGGAGCCTTGATAGTACCTGGGTGAGAGATGATCGTGGCCCTGTTTAAAGAAGTGGCATTTATTTGTCCGAAGCACATTGTCTGTTCGAGCCACAATTGGGACTAGAACACAGATCTCCTGATGCCTACCCCCAGGCTCCTCACACATCACCAGTTCTGGGACCCCAGTGCCATTGAATCAGGGATAAAAAGATAAAGGATCAGTGTTGCAAAAAATCCAGGTTGTTGCAGGGCAAACCCCTACATGGGATCAAGAACCTTCCACACATGACTACATAAGGTTCCCTGACTCCCTTAGGTATAGTTATTCACTCCCAAAATGCCTCATATAACCTACATGTCCCATCTTAGGAGATTTTAAGCATCTGTTTTTCCTACAAAACCATGAGCAAATCACAAGAACAGGGTCTGTAGTTTATTCATCTGTGTATGGTTTTTTTTTTTTTTTTTAAGATTTTATTTATTTATTTGAGAGAGAGAGAGATAGAGAGAGAGCACAGCATGGGAGCAGCAGGCAGTGGGAGAGGGAGAAGCAGGCTCACTAAGCAGGGAGCAGATGTGGGGCTTGACCCCAGGACCGTGGGACCATGACCTGAGCCAAAGGCAGATCATCTGTGGTTTTACAGCGCCTAACATGGGGCCGGGCTCCGTGATTATGGAATGAATGAAGTCTTCACTCTGAGCTCGCTAGCAACCAAGTCAAGAAGGGAAAGAAAGTGTATTTTGTGGCTTGGCTTTCTTGTCTAATCAAAGGAAGCAAAAGAATGCTTGGTGTTAAATATTGCTAGGAGAGCAAATCTGACCCCGACTGAAACATTGACAGGGGAACTGTCACATTCCCATGACTGATTTGAAGGCGAAGGGGAAGGGAAGGTAGTGATGGTCAGGTTCACATGGAAAGCATGTGTTGAGAGCCTCAGAGACTCTGTTGGGTGGGATTACCAACAGAGGGAATAAACTGAGGGAGACCATTCCCCGGAAAGGGAGATCTCTGGAGATTTTTTTTTTTTATGTGGTAAAATGTACATTATATAAAATTTGCCATTTAAAAATTTTTTTACCACGTTAACCATACAGTTCTGCGGCATTAAACACGTTCACATTGTTGGGTATTGTTTGACCATCGCTAACATCCATCTCCAGAACGTTTTTGTCTTCCTAAAGTGGAACTCTACCCATTACACACTAACTTCCCATTTGCCCCTGCCTCCAGCCCCTGGCAACCACTGTTTTACTTTCTGTCCTAAGAATTTGTTCTAGATATTTTGTATAAGTGGGACCATACAATATGTGTCCTTTGTGTCAGGTTTCTTTCATTTAGCATAATGTCTCAAAGCTCATCCATGTTGTGGCACGTATCAGTCTCACTCCTTTTTAGGGCTGAATAATACTCCATTGTAAGTATATGTGGCATTTTGTTTATTCATACATCTGTCAGTAGACATTTGGGTGGTTCCTACCTTTTGCCTATTGCAAATAATGCTGCTGTGTGGACACTGGCATGCAAATGTCTGTTTCAGTTCCTGCTTCCCATCCTTTTGGGGGACTGCAGGCAGGGATTGCGGGCCCACGTGGCAGTCCTGTGTCTGATTTTTGGAGGCACTGCTGTGCTGTCTGCTACAGTGGCCACACCATTCTCCAAGGGCTCCTCCATCCCCACATCTCCAGTGCCTGTCATTTTCTGCTTTTTCTTTTTTTTTCTTTTTTTTTTTTTTCTGCTTTTTCAATGGTAGCCACCCCACCACATCCCTGGGTGTGAAATCTCAGGACACTTTTTAAATTTTTTAAAATTTTTATTTAAATTCAATTAATTAACATATAATGTATTTTTCATTTCAGAGGTAAAGGTCAGTGATTCATCAGTCTTATATAATACACAGGACATTTTTTTAAAAGATTGATTTATTTATTTGAGAGGAAGGCAGGGGGAGAGGGAGAGAGAATCCCAAGCCAACTGTGCACTGAGCATCGAGCTCGACACGGGGCTTGATCCCAGGACCCTGAGATCATGACCTGAGCAGAAATCAAGAGTCAGACGCTTAACTGACTGAGCCACCCCGGTACCCTGTCCCGGGAACTTTTGAAATGTAGGTTAGACCAGAGACAGAATTTCTTCTTTGGAGAGGTAGGGACGCTAGGTGAGGGTTCCTGGGCCTAACTGCACCCTTGAACGTGACTCTTTCCCGGCCTCTCCTCCCAGGTGCCTGGCTGCAGTAAATCATGCAGTGAGCCATGCCCCGCCCTGGACACCCCCGCCCATCATCTGGGCCCCCACGCTTGGGACCCTGGGAGCAGCCAACAGAACTATGCGTGGAGACTTTTGATGAGCCATCCCAACCCCCACCAAGCCGCCGCACCCGCAGGCCAGACCCCAAGGACCCTGGCCACCATGGGCCCGAGAGCCTTACCTTCATCTCCAGCTCTCCTGAGTCTGCTGCTGAGCCCCCGGCCTGCTGCCTGCCCTGGAGACCGTGGGTGTGGGACTGGTGCCGGGCTGCCTTCTGCTTCCGCCGCTGCCGGAGTTGCCTCCAGCGATGCGGGGCCTGCATGCGGGGCTGCAGCCTCTGCTTGTCTGCTGGTGACTCCCCTGAGGGGGCTGCTGAAGCCAGCTGGGCCAAAGAACACAATGGAGTACCCCCCAGCCCCGACCGCGCACCTCCCAGCCGACGGGACGGCCAGCGGCTCAAGTCAACCATGGGTAGCAGTTTCAGCTACCCTGACGTCAAGCTCAAAGGCATCCCTGTGTATCCCTACCGCAGCGCCACCTCCCCAGCCCCTGATGCGGACTCCTGCTGCAAGGAGCCACTGGCTGAACCCCCACCCATGCGGCACAGCCTGCCTAGCACCCTCGCCAGCAGCCCCCGTGGCTCCGAAGAGTACTACTCCTTCCATGAGTCAGACCTGGACCTGCCCGAGATAGGAAGCGGCTCCATGTCCAGCCGAGAGATCGATGTGCTCATCTTCAAGAAGCTGACTGAGCTATTCAGTGTACACCAGATTGACGAGCTGGCCAAGTGCACATCAGACACTGTGTTCCTGGAGAAGACCAGTAAGATCTCGGACCTTATCAGCAGCATCACCCAGGACTACCACCTGGATGAGCAGGATGCCGAGGGCCGCCTGGTTCGCGGCATCATTCGCATCAGTACCCGCAAGAGCCGAGCCCGCCCGCAGACCACAGAGGGGCGCTCTGCGCGGGGTGCGGCCCCTGCTGCTGCCCCTGACAGTGGCCATGAGACCATGGTGGGCTCAGGGCTCAGCCAGGATGGTAGGTGGGGTTCCCTGTAGCTAAGGGACAGAGTGGAGGAGGCTCTGGCCAAGGGAGGGCTGCACTGGGTCTGTGGCCACTGTGGGTCCACCCCTCGGCCCATCCCTGCTCTCCTTTGTCCTTTCATGTCCCCTAAGAGGCCCCTCTGTCCCCTGGTACGACGTGCCAGAGTTTGCAGGCCTAGCCTGGTTAACAGATCCAGGATCCCATATGAATTTAGACCTGGGCCCTGGCCTAACCAAATCCCCCACCTAGACACCACTACACACACATGCGCGCGCACACGCACACACACACACACACGCATATGCTAGTTGTGTCTTTGTTTTAAACATTGTTTCTCAAACCCGTCCCAGGTGTAGATAACCCCTCCCTCATCAGGCTGGGAGCTGAAGTTGGGGTTAGGGTTGAAAGGATGTGATAATGACCACTGCCCCCTCCTGTTCCCTCCCTAGAACTCACAGTGCAGATCTCCCAGGAGACCACTGCAGATGCCATCGCCAGGAAGCTGAGGCCTTATGGAGCCCCAGGTTTGGTCCTGACCTGATGAATAGAGAGAGAGGAAACTGTCCTCGGGCCTCCCTCCACACCCCCCCGCCCCGTCCCTGCCATTGCCCTCTCCCAGCTTTCTCTGGGGGTGCGTGGGGATGGGATCAGAAAGGAACCAGAAGCCTGAGCAGCCTAGACCCCATCCTGATCCTGCAAGCTGGCTTCAAGGCTTCACCTGGGAGATATTCAGGGGGCAGGTACCCAGAAGTTGCATCTGAGCACCCCCAGTCACTGGGGAGGACAGTGTAGGGCGGAGGCCATGCACTGGAGCTGAAAAGGCACCCTCTGTGCCATCTACTGCTGCCGCCTTGGTCTTCAGAGCCCCCAGGAGTGGGGTCATTCCCCTTTAACAGACAGCAAGGCTGGGGCTCAGAGAGGTCAAGAACCTGAGTGGGTCATCCAGTCAGGATCAGACCGAGATCAGACTGACCCAGGCTTGAGTCCTACTCTGCTCCTCCTTGACAGGCTTCTCCCTGTCTGTGGGACTGGATGAGCTCCTTCCGTCTCTAAGCCTCTGTTTCCTCTTCCCTTCCCCTCAGGATACCCAGCCAGCCACGATTCATCCTTCCAGGGCACAGACACAGACTCGTCAGGAGCACCGCTGCTCCAGGTGTACTGCTAACCCTTCTGGGAGAAGTAGAGCCCATAGCCTGAAGAGGGGAAGCAGGACCCCCTTTGGAGGAGGCTGGGCCCCCCCGGCCCCTCCCACTTCGGCTGACTGGTTCCTGGACCACGTGCATTTCACTGGGCAACAGGTGCCCACATCACCCTGGATCCCTCACTGGCCTGACCCCTGCCTGGGCCTGTTCCTTCCTGCCCACGGTCTTCAGGCAGCCTGGATCATGGAAGGCAAAGACTTAGAGGAGTTACCTTCTGGGATTGAATCCCAGCTCTACCGTAACCAGTCAAGCAAACTCCCCTCTCCCCAGGATGAGGGTAGCACGTGAGAGGGTGACAGCTCAAAGCAGCTTATCTTAAATGGATTGGGTTGGGGGGCAGGCAGGGCCTCTTGTCTCAAATTCTGTGGGCAGTGCCCACTCCACGTTATGTTCTATTGGTTCTTGGTTTATGTTCTATATGCTAACACGACCGTAGTTTCAAGTACAAAGATAGTAGATGACTGCCTGGTCATCTTGGCTGTGATAATGCTCTTTCTGTCCAATCAGCTTGACCGATACACAGAGCAGGAGACAGGACAGAGGGCCCAGACTGCCTTAGTGTTGTGGGGTCAGTCAGAAGGCTAAAATGAGACCAAGAATGTCCACCTCTCAGGTTCACTGAATTCCAATGAGCCAGTTTCTATAGTTTACGTACCTGAGAAAGGTCTGACAAGTGGTTTCTGTCATTGTTGAGAGGTTCTTCTAGGTAGGCCTACCCGGACCCCTCCTGCTGCCCCAGTTCACCGCCTATAGCCTGGCCTGCTTCTGGCCATCCCTGCAGTTTCTCTAAATCCTTGAGGATGGGTCAGCCCCCTCCCAGCCTCAGACAAGGCTCCTTCCACCTCTCCCTGGTTCTGACAGAGCACTGCGATCTACTGGGACCTTCTTGACCTTCCCAGTAACCCTGAAGTGGGGTCAGGACTAGGAGGCTGGGGCTCAGAGGGATCAAGGAACTTGTCGAACAGCTAGTAACTGGCTCTGGACCTGAAAGCTGGCCTCTTGGCAGTTCTGCCCCAAAGTTGGCAAGCTGACCTGCTTGGGGCAGAAGGCCCCCATTTGGACAGAAGCCCAACTGGGTTCAGAAAAATCCTACTTAGCTACTCCTCACACGCAGGAGTGTCTTGCTAGTCCTCAGCAGTGAGGACAGAGCAGGCCCACAAGCCCATTCTTGGCTGAACGAATTAGGTGCCCAGGATCCCTAACCACTCACCTATAGCTCCCACACCTCACCTTTTTATTGTCCCCACAGGCCCTTTTGGGAAGTGACAATTAGACAAACTACTTATCCAGCTCCCTATCAGACACATAGGACCGTCCCCTTGGGGTCTGTGACAAGGCCCCAGTGCCAGTGACAAAACTGGCCCCTTGCCTTCAGCTCTATCATGCATGTCAAGGCCTCTCCAAGACTGAGAATGTCCACAGTGAGAAATGGTCTTAGAGATGAAAATGGAATCAAGTCCAGTTGGTCTTAATTTTGCTGAGTCATGGGCCCCTTTGAGAATATGACAATATATTCTGGTCCCTGTAACCAGAAAAACTCACCTTTGCTCTTTCACACAGACTAAAAAGCCTTGTTTTATTTCTCCCTTTAAGTAATGAAAAACAGCCCCAGAGAGGTCTAAGGACTTGCTCTAGGTCATATGACAGAATCTGGACTAGAAGCCAAGCCCCCACCAGCAGCAATAAGAGAGGCCCGTCCCCTGGGGAAAGGCCAGAGGGAAGAAGAGACACAGGTGGAGTAAATAGTTTTAATGTGTAATAGCAGGCCAACTGGGGAAGGTAAGACACCCCCCAAAAAGGCCCCAGCCCTTCTCCCATGATGCCCTAGGACCAGTGTGCCTGAGCCAGTCCCATGCCTGCCCCAATCCCAAGGCCCCCACATCCCAGGGGAGGGTAGGAAAGAAGGTGGATGGCTGGGGGCTCAGCCCCAAGAGTTCAGGGAGGCAAACACAGGGCCTAGTTGAATTTGGCCTTGGAAAAATCCATCTCCGGATGCTGATCCATGAACCTGGGAAGGGAAAATAGAAGGTAAAACAGGCCATCCCCTCCTGCAAAGTTAGCCCCTTTCTCCCAGCCCCTCAACATCAGGTCTAATTTCTTTAGAACCCTAAGCAACTTGGAGCCAGACCCGACAGTGGTAGGGCCTCAAGATCTTCTGTAGGTGGCAATGACCGCTTGTGTTAT